GACAAATACAGTTTGATCAGGACTGCGGTCCTCTCCTCCCCTGTTACCGCTGTGAATAGCCTTCCAATAGGCCTGAAAAACACCTGGTCTTTTTCTGTACCAGCTCTGTGTGAGTGGGTGTGAGAGGAGAAAGACAAGGCGGCAGTGAAAGCATGCAGGCAGTGAAACTACTGCCCAGCTGTGTTTTGTTCTGCAGTGCGACCAGCTGTATCAATCTGTCCAGAACAAAGTCTCGGTGCGTGAGCCAGCCTCTGTACAGTGGTGACTGGCAGCAGGCCCCTGGTGATGATGGAGACTCATTAGCCCGTACTCTGTAGAGCAGTGTCACACGGGGACAAAGGCAAGTGGAGGCAAGTGCTGTGGACTGCTCTCTGTGTGTGTGTGTGTGTACTCCATCGGCTTTGCTTGCAGGCTCTTTTCTATCACTCTACCTGCTTTTTTCTATTCCCTTTTCCCGACTTCTCCTCTCGCCTGTGATGCCATACCCTTCAACCTTCTCCCATAGGGGCATTTGGTGCCACTCTCGGATCAGTTTGCTGTTGAGTCTTTGGTGCAGGATCAAGCTGGAGAAGACGAAACAAATCTGACCTCAAAGAGTGAGGCAGGAAGCTGCAGGATGGGAGTCTGGATTTTATCACCAGAAGCTTTTACTTTGATGGGGCATACTATGCAATACAGGAGGCGTAATTGCCTTTTCTTTATAAACTCCTTTATATTTTCAAACCCTTTTGCACCAATGCATTTGTGTAAGACCTGTGCATGCACACAGACAATGCAATTTTAGCAATTTAACTTTATTTACCACATTTCAAGAGACATGTTGTTGACATGGATGCATGACTCTGACGGCTGTTAAGGCATCTCAGAAGCCAACATGTGTTTCAGGTATTTAAACAGGAGACTCATTAATGAAGACACTACTTGTCATGTTGTTCCTGTGCTATGGGAGTTGTAATACTGCAACTCCCAAAGTCCTCATTACGCAGTGTTTATTTTCTCTGCAGCGTGGATGCTTAAAACTTGAGGTAGAATATCTCGCATGAAAGAAAATGAGCAATGGTAATGTCACGTTTGCTGGGTGTAACATAGTGCAAGCAGTTGTGATACAAGCCTTATGGGAGGCATTGAAGCAACACATGAAATACCGGAGCAATTCAGTTGCCATCACATCCAGACTCATAGTTCTCAAAAACAGGGTTAAAATCCTGTTTTTCTCTCTGTCTTTCCAGCTCTTTGGTGTCTGTAAGATATTTAGTGCCTCCAGCTTTACAGTAGTTTTTGTAGCGCCTCCAGGATGTACTTTGCCAAAGCAATGCCGGCCTGCGCAGTGCACGATACGGTGGTAAGAGCCTCTCTCCAGGAGCTGATGGCACCGCACTACCTGCTGAAATGCTGTAGACATCTCTTCAAACCAAAGGCTTGGATACCCCAGACTCCTCCTGAGAGCGCTTTGTTTCAGACTGCTTCTACTTACTCCAGTACTTAAGAGGGCTTCACCAGAATAAGTTACACTCCACAAATCCCGGACATTTCGTCTTTGTTGTCTGTTTTTATGCATACGTACATAAAAAAAACTGAGCTGGAGAGAAAAGGGGATGCTCTTTAAATAATTACACACCTATAAGAGGCCTAATGCCAGTATTATTTTTTCACGAGCCATAACAACCCATTACATGCCTCCTAAACTCTGTAATCACTGCTCACTATCATCAATGATGATCATTTATTTAGAAGCCGTCAGTTTATAAGTCCGTGCCAGCAGCACTGGCGGGACTGGTCTACAGGAGAAGATGTCTTTAATCTCCGCCTGAATTCATCGGTCGATTAGCTTACTGCAGCCTTGTGCAGGAGACCTCTGGCGAGCCGACCTGTCACTATGCAGAAATCTGCACCGAACGTCATTATTTCCCAGCAGGAGAGCGTGATTGGTTGAAACCAAGAAGACCGGAAGTGTCATCACGGCCTGCTCATTGATATGCTCCAGCGTTACTCACACAAGTCTCATAGGAGTTTTACGCTATTGTTGCGCACACACACGCTTACACACACGCTTACACACATATACACAGTGGAAATGACAAATGCATAGATCTACACAGAACGAAGGCATAATAGTGAGAGTGTGTATGGGAGGGGGAGTGTTATGATGACATTGCGAGTGAAATGCAATCTCAAGGTGTCTTTGGAGACTCTGCTCCCTTCTCACATTGTTGAAGGACAGCTGAAAGACTTGTCTTTAATCTATAGAGACCAAAGCCCCGACGTGACGTCACATCTGGACTGGCTCGTTGTTCCACTAACTCCTGTACTTCAATACAATCTCAGTGAGAGCTTTTTTAACTGGGTTAGCGGCGTAGATGATTACGTGCTAAACTAAGATGGTGAACAAGGTAAATGTTATACTGTACATAAACATCAGCATAATGCATGTTAGCATAGTATCGTTAGCTCAAAGCACCACTGTGCAAAGTACAACCTCACAGAGAGAGTGAACCACACAACATAATGTTTTAGCTTATATTGAAGGGCCGTATTTAAGGTAATTTACATAATTAGTTTCCTTAGTTTCTCTTTGGCTCTCTATACAGCGCTCTGATTCTGCTTGACCTTTCCCATTGTTGCAGAACCCCCTAAAATCTTCAGATTTTGTAAAATGACCCATCTCCAAATTGAGGAGAGCGTCTTCTTTCCTTGCACTCTGACTGACATCACTTAGTGCCTCACTTTATGAATGATTGATGGCAGTTAGTGGCCCCGCCTCCTCTGTAGCAGCCAGGTGCAACAGGGGAGGAGTGAGTGAGGGTTGATGACGGAGGGAGGAAGAGACAATATCAGAATAATTGTTCTTCAGTGAGGGGATGAGACGGTGGAAAAGGGCTGGTCATCGGCTAGACAGAGACACGAGTGGTAGCCTCTCTGATTAAAGAGGTGCGTGCGTGCGTGCGTGCGTGCGTGCGTGCGTGTGTGTCTTGGCACTCAGACAGGCAGGATTGCGATGCAGGGATCGATGCTGTCCTTGTATTGCCCAAATCAACCCTGTGCACGCTCCCTCACCAGGGAGACTGATTGCATGTTCCAGCCCAGCCAAGTGTTGATTTACCGTGGAGGGCTTTTCATTTCAGTCTGCGTCTGTGTTGAATAACATTTTCATATCGATCCAAGACTATTATCACTAGTCTTTCCCATAACAGACCTGTGAATGTTACAATCCATTCCAGCAGTCAGTATTCTCTCAATTATGGCTGCTATAGTACACATGTATCCCAAATAATGATGTTAATATTGCATTATTTTTTGATAATGATATTCATGAAGATATAATTAAATATAATTACATTTTTGAAGAAAAAATCTGTTTCCTCATCTATTTGTGGTTCTCTTATCTGAGCCCAAGCTTAACCCTAATGCTGCGTTCATGTCATATGGAATGAACGGTAGAGATGTTAATGAGTTGTGAGTGTTCCCGGCATCAAGACTGTTGTATGATTACAGCGTGCTTGCGTGAGGATTAAAATTCTGTACATTGAGAATACGACACCATATTTCAGTTTCGGAGTCATAAATCCAACTTGGAAGTTGCGTGAAATAGTGCAAACCCCTATTTACATGTGTGAAACTGGTTATTACGATAACTCGGATATGACGCGAACTCGGCATAACCTCAACCTGTTATCCCCGCAATGCCTAACTATATAACCTGCTGCTCTAAGCCCAACAGTGCAGGGCAGCGGTAGAGGAAACAAGACCTCCACCAACGTCACTTGCTGCTGTAGGTAGTTATGATGTAATACATCAGCATGACTAAGGACATGACTAATCATCAGTCATTAATAGGCTCACAATGTGCTTTGAATTAGAACCTGTCCCTGTACCACATCTGTGACACACTATATATGAATACATTTAGGATATAAGAGCCAATTATTGAAATTGCAGAGTCAAACAGGATAATGTCAAAATATTTCTGAAGTGTAAATTATATCGGATTTTCTAATTCAAAATATCTTCAAAGTAATGAAATATACAATCCATTGATAAAAAACTAAGGTTTGGATAACGGCAGACTAATTGCACATCACTAAAGTCTAAATATGAGAAATCTGGTGAATCTGGCACGTTCTCCTGAATTACTCATACAAGCCACTTAAGAACGAATCTGTTTGTTCGAGTGGTTCTTGAGTCAGACTAATGTCTGTAAAAGGCTTCACTGACTGTAATTGTTTAAACATGCGACAGCCAAAATGAATAGAAAATGAGGGTTGTATTTAGACTCTTGTGACACTGTATTTTGGTTTGCTGTGCTGTGTACATTTGTTCGATAAATATACCCAGAGTTAAAACAAATAGAGATATACATGCTCAAATATATGCACACGGTATTTCATGCATAATTACTAATGCAACATCAAAGCCAGACAATGTCTCTCTTTCACATTCATAAATGAATGAATTCACTCAGACCATTCATTTCTTTTTAAACGTGTAAAGCTCCAATCAATTGCCTCAGTTGTACCTTATGAACAGAGTAAACAGCCTAAAAGATTTGTTTGATCAGCACATTTAGCTGGGCAGAGGTAGAGAAAACAGGATAACTTGTGAAAAGGCAGGTTAATATATGTAATATATCATTAATATGTTAGTATTATCCTCATGTAAACATTCGGGAAAGACTCAATTGTCAGATTACTCAAAATGCTCTATTTGTCCCTCATCAAAGAAACACAAATGGTAATAGTGACACCACTGTAAGAACCAGACAGTGATTCTAGTTTGATGGTTGTATTTTGAGAGTCTTGTTATTGCGTCCAACAGTCTCCTGTTGTTCCACAACCACGGTGGTGGGAAAACACGAGAGACGAAACACTTATAAGGCACAAAGGTCTCCCATGATCAATGAACTAGGGCGGGCATGTGCGTGGGTGAAGTGGGGTTCTCTCGGGACACACTCGCAGAGTCTACATGCACAGACCCTCAGACTGAAGTCCGTTTTGTCTCGACAGGATGATGAAGTGGTGCTCCAGTGCGTGGCCTGCATCCAGAAGGAGAATCGCAAGTTCTGCCTGGCTGCTGAGGGGCTGGGCAATCGGCTGTGTTACCTGGAGCCCACATCTGAGGCCAAGGTAAGCAAAGAGACTGAAACATTGTTGTCAAAAATCCTCTACTTCATGTTGGACTTGTTTTCTCTGCAGTTATATAATTAACTACATGTTCACACCCACACACCCATACAGAATACACAAACGTCACATGAAGAAGTTTGCAGGAAAGTTAACCGCAATTGATGAGCTTTTCTTCCAAGGGTTCAGGGACGACGTGGCATCTCCGTGGGCCCCGCCGTCAGATGATAATTCCCAGAAATTCGGCCCCTGGACGTGTTTGATGGAGTCTTTCATAAACAGTGCTTTTGTTGGCTCTAATTGCCTCCAGCTTTATTGCAGCTGAGCAGTAGCTGTAGCTGCTTAAGCATTTGCTGACGCACAAGTGCAACGTTGTAACTGCGACAGTTTTTTAATTTGTTTGCCTTTGTAATCAGCAGGTTGCCGCATCTTTGCAGAAGAAATGATCAACATTGATGAAGCACATTCTCAGCCTTTATATTCAACATGTTAGTGATGGTAGGCAGAAATATCTGAAGAATGATTGGCTGTTGGAGAGAATTGGAACAATCCCAAGATACTCTCACCTTGTTGCTCTGTGTCTTATCTGGGAAGATGCAGAGCAACAATACAGGCGTTCCTATGTTTTCCCAGAGCAAAGCCTGTTGACAGCAGGCCTAATGGACTTTTTCCTGCATTGATTGCCTTTTAATCGTAATCCATAAATATTGTCTTGGATTCATTTCGCTCGAGCGATGACAACAGTCATGAACAGACTGAACATGTGAGAGATACAAGGATGTTTTTCAGGGAAAGGAGACCGAAAGAAGAAGAAGAAATGAAAGATCCATGTACTCCTGGCATTTAGTATCTTGTCTGCCCTCAAACAGCTCTCACAAAGAGTGTGTGGGGGTGTGTATGCTTGGCAGGGGCATTGTGTGCAGAGGGAGTTGATGCTTTCACCCCATATGGATGGTAATTACACCTGACAGGTGTGATGGATGTTCTCCCTATCTGGCACTTTGTCTTCATTGCCAGCGTTTCTTTCTGAAAAGGCACCGCCCACCTTTGGGATCAACAATGGTGAGGTGTAAAAACCCAAGATGGCAATTTGGAAGCGGGCCTGGACCCCTGAATAGGAAGCCTCTTTCCTTGGTGAACTAGTCTAGCGATGGGGCACAAAACCCGGACCACAGGATGAGGTTGATTTAGAGTGTGCACTGTTTAAATGGCAACATCAATCAGCCTGTGAGAAGCTGGTTGATTGTAATATACGACCAGCAGCTCTCGCCTGTCAGCGACTCCATGTTATGACCTCTGGAGAGTAGATGCCCACATACCATCATGGCAGTGATGCTGTGAGTCTGTTGTGTCTTCAGTATGTGAATCAAAACAGAGTTCCTCAAATACGCCAACTGATCAATTCTTTTCAAATCATCTGTTTTTGGCTCCTGTCTTTGCTGCTTCAGGTAACAGTTTTAGCAGCTCCTCCAATTAAGCTGAAAAGGAGTGGCAGAGAACGAGGTCAGCTCCTCAGGGCAATCAGCTTTAACCCTTTTTGACCCTCTCTGTGGAGACAAATAATGAGGTCTATCTATCCCTGCCCACCATCTAGCTATGCTCTTTTTGGTCTGCCTTGTTGGTCTGCCTTGTTGGTCTGCCTTGTTGCCAGGGCCGGACACTCATCATTCCCACCAGCTCTTCTAGACCTTCATTAAACTGCCTCGCTCTCTCCAGGCAGTCTCCTCCCCACCAACTGTTACAGTCCTGCGCCTGGGGAGAGCAAAGGTCAGCTGCTAGTCATCCAGAGAGATGAGGGCGGGGTCAGATTGCTTCTCACCAGACCCTTTATTACGATTCCTCTACAGTGACACTGCTAAAGGGGAGGCTAGTCAGTGTAGAGCGCGCTGAACATGTGTTGTATACAGATTGTACGGGGAGGATGTGTACATTTAGGTGTGAAAAGTTTGACATTTTGGGAAATGCACTTATTACTTAACTCTGTCCATTAGATATGAAGCTGAATATGAAGGATCCAGTTAGCTTAGCATAAATGGTAGAAACGGAAAGAAACAAAACAATATCTGCCTAAAAGTATCTCTAAAGCTCACAAATGAACAAGTTATATCTTGTTTTGTCCGACTTACAAAAAGAGAAATATAGATAATTCCATCTCTCAGAATAATACCAATCACTCGAGTTGATTTCTAAATGAACTGTGGAGTGGATGAGTAGTCTGCGGTCGGCCAATTAGACAGTCTGGAAGCTTTATTCTTGGATTCCAACACACTGGCATGTGTCGCCATAAATCAAGTCTTCCACAGTCATTTTTCACAGTCCTGCCTGGAGCATCTATACTTCAACTAGACATAGATTTTAATGATCAGATAGCTATGGCTGTGCACAGCAGTGGTCATTTTAGTCTTTTCCTGACTTCTATTGTTACTTCACCCTGAAACTGGGATGTGTGAAGTTAGCAAATGAGGTTAGATTTACCTGAACCAGTTTGGGAGGAGTTGAGATACTCCATAAGGAGGCCAGGGCGGGTGTTGAGGTTGATGTCCTTTATCTTGTAGCCACTCCCCAAAATATCTTCATCCCTGCTTCCGTCATACTGTCAGTGAATCGCCCCTCTTGTTCCAGTTCGGCATCTTCTTCGTTTGTCTTATACTACACTTATCTGAGCGCAGACTGATCTGAGACCACTTCGTCTGTTTTTAAAGTACCTTTTTAATGAATATCACCCTCTTGATGAAGACTAACTTGGTTCAAGTGTGCTAAAAGTGCAGCAGTCAGCACAGGTTGAGTGGGCATCTAATCAGAATATCCCTGTGGATTCAAGAAGCACTGGCTGTATGTGGATGTTTTGCTTATGCAGCAAAATGGTTCTTTACATACTAAATCAAAATCAGTATTGATGGGAGGCAAGACAGGTGGCTCTGGTTATCATTTCATTAATGCTGCTTTGGTTATTGTGGGAACATGTTGGGCCAATACAAGTGAGTTTTATTCTGAGTCAACTGCTGTCATAATTCTATTCTTAACTTTTTGGGCTCATACTTGTTGAGGACATGCTGTACAGTACATAATGTAGCCTACTGTAGATGCCAGGTCTAACTTCCATTCGCCAGGTTGAAACTAACAAGGATTACTTTTAACTACATCTGTCAGCGCCTCTCCACACGACTCCCACCAAGGCAGAATTGTGTCAAATGTCAAAAGTAACAAAATTCCTTATGTGAGTCCTACTTTTTTGGGGACAGAGTGCCATAAAGTAAATTAAATTAGCCCCTAAAAATGATGTTAATTTTTGACCCGAGACCCACTTGCCTGTTGTTGCAGTATGTTCCTCCAGACCTGTGCATCTGTACCTTTGTGCTGGAACAGTCTCTGTCAGTACGGGCCCTCCAGGAGATGCTGGCTAAGAGCGGACAGAACAGTGAAGGGGTGAGTGATGGTGAACACACACGCATGCTAACAAACACAGACACACACACACACACACACGGATAGGTAACACTCTGACAATCCATACTTCCAACTCTTCATAAGCCATCTCTGAGTCACGTACTGTATGTCCCGCCCTGTTTAGACGTTAAAAAGAGGTTGTAAAACAGTTTATTGCAATGAATGCAGTCATTCATTGCAATTGAAGTTAAATACTCTTACCTTGTTCAGTCACTATAAAGAGATTAATGGGCAAAATAGGCCCATTACAGTGGCATTGGGACCCCTACTGTGTAGAGGTCTGTGGCCCCTATGAATATTAATGAGGATGAAGGAGATGCCCTGGCAATACTGCAGCTTGTCACAGTGTTTTGTGCACTTTTAGCCCTGATTACCACCAAAGCTTGAAGGGAAGCAGCATCATTAAGCACATATATATAATTTTTAAGTAAAGAGAGCAGCCGACTTTAGATTTGGCTTTTTTTTTTTTTTTCAATCAATACTATGTGAATTTGTAATCCACACATTCATCACTGTAATCTCTGCACCTGATGTTATTCCAGTTGTCTTCTTCTAAGTGTGTTTGCTTCTCTTTCTCATTGCTGTGACCGATGAGTAATTCTTCCCTCTTTGTCTTCTATTTTCTGTGTATAATCTCCATCTTCTGCATGGTAGACGCGCGGCCCCGACCGATGGGTATGTTCGCCACTCATACCATTCCCATGTCATCCCCAATGCATGACGCAGTAGATTCGCCACATTACACAACTGTCTACTATAACATGTAGAAATCGTGGGTTATGCTCACACCAGGAGCCCATGCTTTGAAATAACTGATCGTATGGATTTGTTTTGTGTACACTGGGTAAGAAGAATGTGTCTGAGCTCCTGCCGAGCTGACAGAGACAAATAGAGGTTTGTATAGACTTCCAATCAGGTTCCCCGCAAACATAAGCTCTCACACATCTTACTTTTAACTGCTGGAGAACTGCAGTGTCACCGGTGCTGGATTAGCGTCAGATTAACATTAGTCATGCCCTCAGGGGAATTCAGATGGATGTTCATTGCAGCGTCATTTGTTTTATGCAAACTCCACCATGTAGGATAAGTTCAAATTTGTCACAGTATCTTATTTGAATCACTCACTCTTGGATGTATGCTATGAGATGCTATGAGAGGATGCAAACAGCTGAGACCAAGATTTCTGCAACAAGACAGAAAATGATCATGAGTGACTTAGTCAAAAATACACTCCCTGCTGACTTAGAGTCAGCGTTAGCCACTTCACCCTTTAATGCCCCATGGCTAATGATGGTAAGAATGTCCATAGATCTTCAGTTGTTGAGCCTCATATTCATTGACTGGACTTCTGAGATGAATGGATTCTTCAGGGCTCGAGCTTTGTGGCCACAATGGACTATCTGTGCAGCAGAATAACACAAGTCAAGACCATTGGTTCCACTGCCGCTGCGGGGATTTTAAGAGCTAGCTGGCAGGGAATTACGAGTCGCAGCAGAGAAAAAGGGTGCTCAATATATTAAACACTACCTTTTTTAAGACCTATTTAACTGTAAGTCCAGCCTCATACCTCATGCATCAGTACCGTTTTAAGGCTTTAACATAATACTTAAAGTCCAACTGAAGTCAAACAGCATCATCTGCTACAGGATACATATCTGCTCTGTAAATCACATGTCCTGTGTTTTCAATTGAGAAAACAAAATCAGAAATCAAAAGGGAGAAATTGATCTTATATCTTTTTTGGTATAATGATTTGTCCACTGTCTTTGCAGTCATTTGTAGAATTTCGTTAATCCTCCGTCTACGTAGATGGAGAACTTGTTTCGATAGATCCAGTCTCACTCACAGGATGTAAGCAAGACTAAAAGGCCGTTGGGCACATATTTTACGTGGCATTCTCCTCCCTTTATGTTATCTGCGCTATTTATTTTGCAAGGGAACCGATGCTGCATCCTGTACTTAGTGCCACCCAAAAACCATCGCCATTGGTTTAATGAAATACAAACAATACCAGAATGATAATGGGTGCAGCCACACCTTTACCTTAGCGATGACACAGCACCGTTGAGATAGGTTTGGCTATGCGAGACCACCATAAAGTCAATTAAATCACTTTGTTTTGAACCGTATTTACATAAAAATCATAGACAGATAGTCCCACTGTTTGAACAAACAGCCACATTAGCTTTCATGTTAAAGTCTCCTTATCTAACTTACAAACATTAAACGCTATATAAACGTACCTTTTAAATGTCACTTTGATCCATTTCGATGCTGGTGTGGTCCTCGCTCTTCAATACCACTGCCCATAACTTGTTAGTTACAGCGCATGTTTTTTTACTTTGCGTCTTGTTCCCCCGCTGGAGCTCAGCCTGCCAGCTGCTGTCAATCAAACAGACACGCCCCTATAGCAAATGAGAGGACAACAAGCGTATCTCATCCCCAAAAACTTTTTCTTCCTTTTGATAATGAAGAATTATTATCAATAAATTAAACAAAATATTCACAACTATAAAAGATGTTCCTGACTGTAAAAAAAGGATGACTAAATATGATTTCAGTTGGACTGTATTATTGTTGCTTTTCATACTGTCTTATTAGACTAGTTGGAAAATGTACTCTTCGCCAAAATCCGTTCCTTAATCTTTCCCTCCTCTTGTGCCTTGGTAGCAAATACCCCAGAGACTTAGATAACTTGGATTGACCATTTCTATTGTGTTACTTCACTGTTTTGTCTCTACTCGCATGTATCTGTTTTCAATATTGTCTTTCTATTCATCATTCTTCGCCTCTGCTGAAATGTCACTAAAGGAAGCGCCATTAAAGGGGAAATGGAGGTTGAATACGTCTCGGCTGAGGCTCTGAAATCAATATGTCTTTGAACAGATGGTCTTATCAATAGACGGTGGCTGGAGCAAATCGGTAGTTCAGGGTGTTTTAGCCGGAAGGTGCTGAGACTAAAGAGGACGCACAAAGACAACACACTTATAACTGGTGCAAATGCCAACCCCTTTCCAGCACATTACACACCAGCGACTAAACTGTGTGAATTTGTCGTCGCATATTCAAAAAGTGCTGAACTGTTTGATTTGGGGGGGCGCTGGTCAAAAGGGCAAATGATGAGATCAGTCAGTCAATGAGACGGAGCTGCTCAGTCGACATCTAGCGTGGCAGTGTTTCATCTTCTCTGCCATCACTGCTGCCTCTTTGTCCTCTAGCTTGGTGTGAGCTCGTGGCTGTACCCAACCCTACTTTAATGAGAGAAACCACAACGCTTGTAATATTCTTTAGGGCTCGCACTAAGAAGCTGCGTCCTGCTAGATGTCACGTCTTTAAATCGATATGAGGATGCCACTTGTGGTCAACAGCTGGACAGGAGAAACAGAACTTGTTGCTTCTCTTATATCTCTTTGATCCAATAAGCTGAGGATAATACAGTTCTACTCTTTTCAGTTGCCTACTGATGTGAGCCACAATTTCCCTCAGTTTCCCTGTGCTCTCTATCTGTATAATGCAGTCCCCAGCCGCAGGATAAGGAAGTGAGTGGAAGGCTTGGGTTTATTGGTTGTGGTGATTGCAGCTGGATGTGCCTCGCCGCATTAAGCTCAGTACCTCAGCCAGCATATAGCAGTAGCCAGAAGCACAGAAAAAGCCAGTGCTGCAGTCTGCACGACACAACTGCGTCAAATCACAGGCCATTGTCCCAGTAGCCAATCGAGGGGGGTATAGGGAGAGAAAATGAAATGGAAGGAGAGAGAGGCTGTGCATGCTAGGTTGTTTTCACAAAACACTGCTGTGATGCATGATTCTCTCAGATAGTTATAAGTCTCTAGTTTTGAAAAAAATCTACTTAGCTTTGGTAGTTTAATGTGACATAAACTTGGCTGTTTGGCATTGTTTCAGGATTATTCCTGGATCCTGTACCAATGGCATTACTTTGTAAAATGCCAAAGAATGGAAGTTGACTGGTTTTCCTTCATCCTTCTCTAAAAATGGATTTATTGACAGCCATGTGTGCCCACTGGACTTTAATTATTTGTACCAAAGACTAAAATAAGGCAGAGGCAGGCAGAAAGGTTCAGGAGAACAACAGTTCTTTCTGAATAATGACACTCTTTCTCACCTTAATGCATCCTAGAGGCTCATAAGGAAGGTGAGTAACATGGGAGTTGCTTGCCGAAGAAAAACAAGAAAAACTCTTTATCCCCTTTGCATCTCTACCAGTAGAGATACCGTTTGTTCCCCTCCTGCATCTAAACACAACCCTATAAGCGACGGAGTCATTCCCCACTAATGTTGACATTGCATCGGAGACTCACAGTAGTTGTGCATCCTTCCCACATTCCTGTAGTCGGAGTGCTGGAAAGATCACCCCGTATCCCGTTCGCCCACGGATATACTGTAGGAGCCAGAAACTCCGTCTCCTGTGGCAAGTCAGATTGCATGTCTTCATTGGCGAGATGGGGTGGCAAAACCCTCCCCAGGAGAAATGTGCCCCCCCAGCTTGAGGTCATCATCGCTGGGGAGAAGGTCCTCGCTGAGGTCAACATTCAGTGCCAGAGGTCGGGTGTTGATTTAAACAGTTGGAGGGCGACCACTGGGGCTGTTCTGTCAGGAGCCTGAGCTGACATGTAACGACGTATTTGTGTGCATGTGTGAATGATCTCTTTAGGCAGCGCAGAGTGGCGGTCACAAGACTCTTCTGTACGGACACGCCATCCTGCTTCGACACTCCTTCAGCTCTATGGTAAGAGATCGCACACAATCAATGTCGCCATCATGGAAAAAAAATATATTCAAACCAGATTTATTACAATAGCAAGATTTAAATGCCATTAGCAATTTAAGTATATCACATGAACAGCAGCATGAGGTCTTCTGCAGAGGGTTGTGTGTGACAGCTCTGTCTTGTGTACCACAGTACCTGGCCTGTTTGAAGACATCAAGGTCACAGACAGACAAGCTGTCCTTTGATGTCGGACTGCAGGAGGATTCAACGGGTAAAAGAAAAGCTCTGTACAGTTTTGCTTTCATCCACCTCTTTTTCCTTCTTTCATTCTCGCTGGCTCTGCCACTCTTTGTCTGTCCCTGTCTTTGTTCCTGTGTCCCTCTCTTTGAATCTCTATCTGTCTCTCTCTCTGTGTGTGTCTGCAAGCCCTCCTCTCTTTATCTCTGTCTCTGCACCTTCATCGTTCATAAGCTTGTGATTTCCCAGTGAATATTCCCTGTGGAGCACTGTAGACATACAGTGTGATTCTTTAGTCAGTGATGATTACATCTCTGCTGCACACTTGCATTTTTATTTATCTCATACCATGCAGCAGATGAGCAGTCACCTCGATATGATTGTTGCCATGCTGCATCCACATGCATCCCAAGTTCTGATTTCTGTCTGCTCTTGCCTCATTTCATTTTTAGTAATACCAGATGACATTCTATATGGGGTTGTTTAAATTGGAGAGTGGAGACGGCATATATATGGGTGTGTGTGTGTGTGTGTTTCATCGTAGGTGAGGCTTGTTGGTGGACAATCCACCCTGCCTCCAAACAGCGATCTGAAGGAGAGAAAGTGCGGATTGGTGATGACCTCATCCTCGTCAGCGTGTCCTCAGAGCGATACCTTGTAAGTTTGGTGTGTGTGTGTGTGTGTGTGTGTGTGTGTGTGTGTGTGCGCGCGCCTAATGTAGGAGAGCATTAACTCTTCTTCCCCTGATGTGACAAAATATCAGATTATCTCAATCCTGTTACCACATACCACACTCTCCTCATGACCTCTCTCCTGCAGGAGGATTTAACATTAAAAGCAACAACTTTCTCCTTCTAAATGACTGCAAGGCTGCTAACGATAACATTTAGCATAATTTGATCTGAACTGGAAATGTTTGGTTTGGTGGATTATGATTTCTGCTGCCAGTGCCATTTCAAATGAGCCTCGCTTGTTTTCATCCTCGTCACATATTGACATCCCACTGTCATCAATAATTGATCCTATTACACTACTGAACTGACCTTTTCAGCAATAGGCTTCTTTTTCTACCATTACTTGTTCCTGCCCTCTATGCTGAGCTTCATATTACTGCAAAACGTGGTCTCTGTAATCCACAAAATTGGTGACAGCAGCCAGGCTGTGTTTACCCCCCCAACGCATGGCGGCAGGGGCACGGCCCGATGACCACTATCACCTTATGTCAATCTGGTGGTCTGTCCCTGCTGTCACCCACACATGGGGCATGGGGATAGCACCTAAGGGCTGCAAAGGGACTCTGGAGAGGGAGGATGATCAGGACACAGCTGCGTGCTCACACACACACACACACACACACACACACACACACACACAGCACAACAGCCCCCCAGATGACATGAACAATCAAGGCATCTGTCTGTCATGTTCATGGTTCCCTCATCACTCAATGATAAACCAGACTTTTCTTGTGGATGATTACAGAGAGTTTCATACTTAAGCTGAACTCTGCCTGAAAAGACAACATCACATTTGATGTTGAATGAATAGTTTAATTTATATATCAGAAATCCAGTGTTGATCTTCCCATAGAACCCACATTTGTTTGCTATTGGCTTATCCTCTAAAGTTTTATTTCATTTAAATGTTTTTATTGTAATCTTATTCTGACAGTTTCAATGTGTTAAATCATTTTATTCTGTGGACCAGATAAGTAGCACCATGCAGGTTAAACAATACAAATGTTCAGCCCATGTCCTGTCACTGTTGTTGAAGCATGAAATCTTTCCTTCTCTTTCCTGCAGCACTTATCCATCTCCAGTGGCAACATCCAGGTGGATGCTTCCTTCATGCAAACCCTGTGGAACGTCCATCCCATCTGCTCTGGTAGCAACATAGAAGAAGGTAGAAACTACACACACAACCCCATCCTCCACCCCCCACACACACACACACACACACACACACACACATACGTATGGTTAAACATAAGAAAGAAGGAAAGAAGACAGGCATACATACATAAAAAGGAGTGGATGTAGGCTATCGGATAAATGTCAATTAGTAAATATATCTCAAGATGGGGATAGTGCAAGTTTTCACTAATTGGTCAAGGATAGACCCCCAAACATTCATAAGACTTTTCTGTGTTTCAGAATTTAATGAATATTAAAAATAATCTTGTTTTTACTGTTTTTGTGATATTTCATTTGTGGAAAACTCCTTGTCATGTCGGAATAGCCAATGTTTGCCCTAATCGGATTGGATCGTTATTGAGAACCTAAATAAACTGCCACCTAAATTTGTACAACATTTTTTATGATTTAGATAGTTTGTCTTTCCAAATTACATCTACGAGATGACTAGCATTCACAGTGGTAGCAAAAACAGCAACAAAACAGAAAAACAAAATATCTAGAGTGTCCATATCTAAATCTCTCTCTCCTGTACTTCCTCTTCCAATAGGCTACCTGTTGGGTGGTCATGTGATGCGGCTGTTCCATGGACATGACGAGGTAGTGGCCATCCCAGGATCAGACCAGAGTGAAGAGCAGCAGAGGTGCGAAACACTGCTAATGCTGAACTAGATTACACTGCAGCATTAAGGGTCACCCTTTAGTGACGGCAAAGCAGTTATGTAGCACACAAGTAGCTAACTGACCTGCGATTCACCTAATGGTCCCTCAGCTGCCACCTCGCTTCATAAAAATGCTTCTGACCAGCTTACACTCGGCTCTCCGGGGAGCCAAAATGGCTGCTGTGCTATTTTTATCTACGGTATAGCTGCTTGTTGCCAACACAGATGAGGTAGGCCGCAGAAAAAAATGGCACACTGGGCTCAAAGTGGGTCAAGACAGCGGGCAAGGCCCATTCACATTCAGCCAGGTGCCAGGAGATGTGTGTTCCTCCTGGGCACAAATGCTCATATACACATGGTGTCTATTTTTAGAACAGAGCACGGTGAATGTGGAGGCAGGATTAGATATGATTTTCCCGCTTTGGCTTTTCCCCTACTGTTGTCCTTGACATTCAAAAGAAGGAGCAAGCTGTTTAGAGGTTTCAAATTTTTCTGTGGCAGATTAAACACACTCCGAACTGTCAGCGGGGGCTGATGAGCGATTCATTTTGTCTTTTGACCCAGTCGGCCATATCACTGATAGACAGTGAAGCTGTGGGTTATCAGGGCACACCTGTCTCTGTTTGAAGGATGTGATTCTGTAGTCGGCAGAGTAAATGCAGTGTGTATGTGTACACATAAATACATCTTCCTGATGAATATCAGCGCGACAAATGACAGTAAAGAGATGGTGTTCTTCTAAGCCAGGATGAATGACCTTGACAGTATCAGTGGTGGCTAGACATTTAAAGCGTCAAGACACAGACAAGACAGACAACCCACTCATGCTTCTCTGGCATCCCCAGGATAGTCAACTATGAGACGGGTAAAGCCGGCGCCAAGGCCAGGTCCTTGTGGAGGCTGGAGCCGCTCCGAATCAGGTGGGTAGTGTTTTACGTTATCTGTTATTTATTTCTTTCCTTCCCGTTTCTCACTACCTATTTTATTCTTTTTTTGTTTTCCATCATTCTCATAGTTCTACATTCCACCTGTGTCTTTGTATCTGCCGTTTCCTCTTTCTATTTTTTCTTTCTACATCCATTTGTCCTTTCCTCCTTCTCCCTACCTTGGATTTACTGCTGCACTCTGGCCTCTCTCTCTTTTTATTCCTCTATCTCCCTCCCTCACTTTCCTTCTCTTGCTCTCTCTTTCTCTGTCAACTCTTTGATCCTGGCTACGTCACATCCTCACAGGGATGCAGCCTTTCCTTTTTCCATCTCAAATCCTGTGTCAAATATGATATTTGTCACATCGACCTTGTTTTTGACCCTGGTTTGATTTAAATTCCCTGACGAGAAACAAAGTGCGTAATCAGAGAAATGTGTTCAGCTGCTATTATTTTAATAATTATATCTAATTGTTCCACCGCATGGCATGCTAGATAATTAACAGCTGGCGGCAATGTTTAGATCAACTAATTAGCAGATATTAGGCTTCCAGGGCTTATGAAATGCACCTTTTTCTCCTTGTATCTTTGCATGTGTGCTTCATTTTAATGTGTGGGTGTGACAATGACAGCTGGAGTGGGAGCCACATCCGCTGGGGCCAGCCCTACAGACTGCGGCACCTGACCACCGGTCACTACTTGGCCCTGACTGAGGATAGGGGGTTGGTGCTGCAGGATCGGGAGAGGTCCGACACCATAGCCACCGCCTTCTGCTTCAGAGCCTCTAAGGTTAGGACACACGTACGCACACAGATACAAGGGCACAGCATGTATTCCCTTGACTCCCTGCTGTTCCTCAAGGTGACTTGTGTCACATGGGATCAACCACTTCCTCATTAAACATCACTGGAAAGAAGTTACAAAAGATCCCCTCTAAACCTTTACAAATGAACCCACTCCCCTTGGACTGGAAAATCACCAGTTTTTCCAAGGACAATGAAAATGATTGGACCAGTGACATTACACCGTAGAGGTTAATTTAACTGAACTTGCCGAATCTGACTGAACAGTCCATTTAGCTTCACACTGTGTAAAGGAGTTTTTAGATATGGCCAGCGATTAGGAGCCAATTAGTGACACTTCCAATGTGGATTTAAAGCATTTATTATCATGTATCACTAACGCCTCATGTCGATTATGGGTTGCATTCATATCTGATCCTAGCAAAACCATTAAAATCATCTTACTGTGATGGATTGAGCCATAAACAGCAGATTCATCTGACATTTGGTCGGTGGTTGATAAAGCAGAGATCTGCATGCATCGTGTCTGAATGTGCACATGTTTTGTATTGTGCCAGCGCGCTCATGAGTTCCACACTGATCGTTTTGTTCATTTTCTCCTCCCCTGTGCAGGAGAAGCTGGAGCAGAGCCCCAAGCGGGACATCGAGGGCATGGGGGTGGCGGAGATTAAATACGGGGACTCGCTTTGCTTCATCATGCACGTGGCGACGGGACTCTGGCTCTCCTACCAGGCACCTGATGTCAAATCTGCCCGTCTGGGTCCCCTCAAGAGACGAGTGAGCGGAGACAAACACAAGCACACGCCGTTCTGTCTTCAGATGCAAAGCGGATACAAAAACAAAGCGAAATAATAAATAAATGAGATTCTTTGGAGCGGATTATTATGAGTTGATTGAGTTAAGATTATTGTTCATATTAGTTCATACCCTTGCCTCAACTAAATTGTCCCTTAGCTATTGTTGCAGAAGTGATAGAGGTGTGCGTGACAATGTGTCCTCCATGTAAACACAGCCAGAAAACCTGTATCGTCAGCGCCTGCGTTCCAGACATAGTGGCTCAGTGCTGGCTGACGATGGCTGGACACTTTCTCGCCATTAAATTCCTTTTTTGGTCCTTTCCCCCTCTTTCCCTATATCGTCTCATGACAGTGGCTCACAGTCTTTCTCTTCCTGTCATGCCCTCTCAAGGCGTGCCTACATTCTGAAGGTCACATGGATGACGGTTTGACCCTGCAGCGCTGTCAACACGAGGAGTCCCGTGCCGCACGGATCATCCGCAACACCACGTTACTCTTTAACCGATTCATCAGGTATGAATGCATTGACGCTGCTGTTCCTCACAAATGCAAGCAGTGACGTGATCACACAAATTGCCCAATTAAAACAAATTACAGTCCACATTTGTCTTGAGCCACTGTTATGGTAGTCTGCAAAATGTCCTGATAATGGTAGAGCGGGATTTTTAGAGCTGATAAAACAAAGAGTTCCCAGCTGCACCACATCACCAAAGTACAGACGAAATCTAAAGACCAGACATATCAAAGCCCCACAGACTCCCAAACAGTCGACACAGAAGGGATGTAATGTCCCTCCAGATTGTAAACGCATTCTATTGGAGAGTTGAGCTCTGGGCCTGTGAATTTTGACTGAGTGGGGTGCTGAAGCCCCAGACAGCTCACTCAGTGGTGCAGTCATGCGTTTCCAATGGCAAACATTGCAGCGGCGTCGCGTCTATGCACTGCCAGCTCTGAAAAAGGGAGCCATGGAGCACGTAAGTGGATGCTTCCACTGCCCTTATTTGTTATCAAACTGTCCCCTGGGTCAGGCTCATGGGGCACTCATAGCGGGAACATGTGAGAGTCTGTCAGCCTCCCCCGCGGCTGTGACACATGCATCTCCGCACACCCCTCCCGCACGTACGACAGGAGCTATTTTTAGCAGGCCAGCGGAAATCAGCATTTCAGCATGGATGAACCTGTGGGCTAAACATTTTGTTAGTCATCAGCCTCTTCACAAGTCTGATCAGCCTCCCAATTAGAGTGTTTTTACCAGGAAGTTATTGCGTTTCTGAGGAATGAGAGTGCATTAAAAAACTATACATGATCACAAATGTAAGTGGGGAGTGCTGTCATGTCTGAATGACGGGTTATTTGTGATATGGTGATATTTCTGTGCCCCCCCCCCCCCCCCCCTCTCCCTCCCAGAGACCTTGATTGTCTGGGTGTTAAGAATTGGGCACTGGTCGCGCTGCCTGTTGAAGAGGTGCTCCAAACCCTCAATGACCTCATCACCTATTTCCAGCTCCCTGACGCTGAGCTGGAGCATGAAGAGAGGCAAATCAAGCTGCGCTCGCTCAAGAACCGGCAGAACCTATTCAAACAGGAAGTGAGTTTCACCATAAAGGACACCAATACTTCATGAAATATCCATTAATAACACAGTGGGCGGTTCCGCAGTGCAGCAAAATATTAAAAGCCCCCCTGGAGTAAAGAGTTTGACTTGTGACCAAACACATGAGTGTGCAGAGAGAAGCAGCAAATTATCAAAAGACAAACTATGTGAAAGGCTAAAGCAATTGATTCTTTGTTGTGTGTTTCAATGCCATCTTGTTTTTGGAGGCATTGCATTTGAAGGGTGTCAGCAGTTTTTGGTGTTATAAGTTTTCTGGCAGCAGAGCACTGAAGCTTTCTTCTAAGCCTCTAGGATCTAAATTGCTTTCATCAATTACGAAATGTCAGCTGCCATACTGAGGGTGTCTATGATGTCAACTATCCAAACTTCACGCGCTACAACAATGTGTCACCATATCCTCAAGCCAACGTGCATGAATGTGAATGAGTTAACAGAAATATACTGTATGTGCATTTCTGGTGGTTTCAACATTGGCAAATTATGCATATTTCAGCAATTCCTCTTCCTTCTTATTTACTTGTCTTTCTATGATAATAAACCAAAACTGCATATCTCTGTCCCTGGACTAATATATTACGTTTATAGAAGGTCAATTTGTCACTGTAGACAGCTGACTCATGATTTTTCCTGGCATTATAAATCATCTGCAATTGCCATTTTGTCTTTTTACTGCACACTTTTAGCATATCTGATCACTATGGATATTTCTCTGTGGTATAAATCACCATGACACAGCCAACTAAATGGGACAGGAGAGAGCCACAGAGCTGCATTCGGGATGGTCGGCTAATTGAATGCTGCAGTAAAAGAGCTCACCAAATTAACTTGTCATACTAATGAGCTTGCTTTTGATACAATTTATATTTTAATGGGAATGTTGTAAAATGTGGTTATGCTCTGTTCATTCGTTGGATCACTGTGCATTTCTTAGGGCATGCTGACTCTGGTGTCCAACTGTATCGATCGCCTCAACGTATACAACAGTGCCGCCCACTTCGGGGAGTGTGCGGGGTCAGAGGCCGGAGCAGCTTGGAAAGACATTCTCAACCTGCTGTACGAGCTGCTGGGTAAGAAGCCGGTCCGCCACAACGTCACACACACGTACGTACAAACGCACACCGATCCCCTACTGTAATCAATCACAGAGGCGAGAGTCGTCGTTTGAAGATAAAGTAGCTGCAATGGTGATGAAGAAGTGTGCTGACCTGGCATTTAACCAACCATTTATAGACACCTCGCAGTGGAAGATCGAATTCTGAGGTTGCTAGAATTCAGCTGCATATTTACACACAGACATGCAACGCACATGCACTTACACTCATCTCTAACACTCACGCATATAGACAGATTTTTGAGGGGAAAAGACTGCATCCAAAAGAGATTTCCAGTTTATGTGATGTGCTTCCAGAGCAGAATCATTATAACACACACATACCCACCCACACACACACACACACACACAGCCCTATCGGCCAGATCTTTTTTTTTTTTTGTTCAGTCATTGAATACCAATTCTCATCACTTTGCTGCTTTCTGTTTTGTTTATTTGTTCTTGCTGCGCTCTTTGTGTTCCTATAGCACAATGTCATCAGTCGTGCCTTTTGAAAAATCACTTTGACCTCTTGCACCAGTTGTGGCATGAAAGATGCATTTGCGAGCAGGCATGGTTTTCCTTCCATGTAACGATTTGGATATGTCACATTCCTATGAAGAGATTGTTTATCCCCTCTGCCCTCTCAGTGTGTTCTTCACACTCTCATTTACACAGATCTCCCCTCCTGGCTGATATTAGTGTTCCAGCCACGTCTCTCTCTTTCCCCGTTCCCGCCTTCACACACCTGCTCCGGCGCAGCACTAAGTGGATTTGGGACGCCTCCCTCCTTTCTTCTCTGTCTGTCTGCGTTGGATGACCCTGTCTTTTTTGTTGTTGTTGATGGGACATAATGTGGGTGTGCTTGTCAGCTTGTGTTTATGTCTTTTCTCTCCTTGTGTCATTCCCTCCGTCTATCTTAGGCATCTTCCAGATTAACATGTATAAAGGTGTCAAACCTTTCTTGGCTTTCAGCATGGATTTAAGGTTTCCACCTTTGGGTATCATTGTTTTTGCTGTTGCACTGACGGAGATCCATCAAATCCCTTTGAACAAAAACGCAGTTTTCTTTCCTTTTAATATTTGACTCATGCTTACATTCCTTGTAACCTACAGCTGCGTTAATTAGAGGGAACAGAAACAACTGCACCCAGTTCTCCAACAACTTGGACTGGCTGGTTAGCAAGCTGGAGAGACTGGAGTCTTCTTCAGGTATGCTCGTTGTCTTCCTCACCCATACTGAGCCTCCAGTGAAACGGCATTGTGAAATAGCTTGCATTTCCTCTGTCAGACAGACGTCACAAAGCTATCCAATTCCTTTAATGGCAATGCAGCACTACTCGACGGGGACATCCGTCTTAAAAATTGTTAAAAGATGACACTGCATGCTTAGAAAAGATACAGGTACAAGCAGCACTGTGTGAACCGTGTTTCCTGTTAATCGATTGCAGACTGGATAGCTCTCTGACGCGTGTCCTCTGGTGTGTCTCTCTCTCTTCAGCGGCTGTTAACTAATTGATGAATTTGTGGCTGTGCAGGCATTCTGGAGGTTCTGCACTGCATTCTAATTGAGAGCCCCGAGGCCCTCAACATAATCCAGCGAGGACACATCAAGTCCATCATATCTTTACTTTACAAGCACGGACGCAACCACAAGGTGAGCGGCTAGTAGAGCTTCAAGTGTTCTGAGGCACTATCTTTGCTGTGATACAAGACAATGACACATCTGGGCTCCATTATTGTGTATTGTGTGGTTTGAGGTACAAGAAGAATGTTGAATGAACTCAAGTGGAACATAAAGGTCTTCGTGAAAAGAAACTTAAATTGGAATAAGGTAATAAAACAATGAGATATATTCTTTAAGGAATAGTTTGACTAAGGTAAATACGTAGCTGGAGCCCACAGCCAATTAGCTTAGCATAACGACAGGAAAGATTGGTAATTTGCTATTTTAGCTCTGAGCAAGGGTTACAAAATCTGTCTACTTGCACTTACAGTACATCTTGGCCAAGAGCAGTAGCTTCCCGGATTCTCTGCTGGTTGCTTGGCAACTGCTGCTGACCAAGATATCGTCCGGCATATACCTCCTCATTAAACGGCAAATTGTTGTTTATACACATTGTTTGTTGTACAGATTAAACAAATGAGATACAATGTGTTCATTTGTGAGTTTAAGAGGTGCTGCTGGGGTGATTTTGTTGCCTAATTTGGAGAGAAGCCAGGCTTGCTGTCTCTCCCCCCCCCCCCCGGTTTCTGTAAAGCTAAGAAGCTAAGCTAACTGGATGCTGACATCAGCTAAATTTTTAGGTAAAGGCGTGAGAGTTTTATTGATCTTCTCATCTAAATCTCGGCAAGACAGCAAATTAGTGTATTTTCTAAAATGTCTAACTTTTTTTTCTGTGAGATACACTGAAATATCTTCAGTAACTTCGGATGTCGTCAGAAACCTTTAGTCAAGCGAGAGAGCACACAACAACAACCTTAAGTGCCTATTTATCGCGCATCCGCCCTATCCAGTTTTTTCCTCATTAGGCACACTACAATGCTTCACTGGATGCACATTCATTCCCATAACAGTTCCCTTTGGGCCTCTTTGTCACCTCTTCTTGTCTTTAGCTATTAATTCATTGTGCTTTCCATACACCAGTATTCAAGCTTCCATCGTTGACAGAAGGCTCAAGGAGGTTTGGTTGTAGTGTGTGCCCATCATGATTCAATCAGGTTAACAGTGAAATGAGATCGGGAGCAGGCAGTCAGCTGGCCAGGGTCATAAATCAGCCGGAATGTATAATTTAGCTCTGGAAGCAGGAGAAAGGGGCCAATGATGAAGCGTAGGTGCTCTGGCCTGTCGCCCTTGGCTGGACTTCACAGCCCATTTAATTCTACGGCTTTGTTAAGCTAACATCAAAGGGATATTATTGGACATGTTTTTGCCCCCAATAAGCATCTCTGAGTAATTATGCAGTGGTTACATGGAAAGAGCCTGTCCCTAGAGCAGCAACCTGGACAGTGATAAGTGACAAAAATAATAAGTCTTTTCTGGAGAGGTATAGATTCATATCCAGGGTTTAATAGGGACACTTGCTCTCAATGTTCGTACTTATTTTTCTCCCTGCTGCCTCCACTTTCTTTTTTAGATTCTGGATGTGCTCTGCTCGCTGTGTGTGTGTAACGGGGTGGCTGTGCGGACCAATCAGAACCTAATCTGTGATCACTTGCTGCCCAAGAGAGATCTGCTGCTGCAAACCCAGCTGGTCAATGATGTCCAGAGGTTAGAAAGCCGTCCACTCACCATGTCTCCGTTCAACATCATGCTTTACAAAAAAAAAAGAAAAAGTAATCTACATTTCAAAATTGCATTTGCAAATGCAATGGTTAGAAATAAGGAACTAAAATCTAATGTTGTTACCAAGTGAATAAAGTCTGAGTCTGTGATTGGTGTACTTTCAAAATAATTACTAAATTATTAAACCATTAAAACCTAAAGAGCATCTTAGTCAATTAAGACCTCCAATCAAAACAATTATCTCTATAAACAGGAAGTCACAGTCAAGTTACTTACAAGCTGTAAGTACCTTCAAAATACTATAGTTTTAGGTAAATTGTCCAGTATATGTATTCCTATTCCTAATATATCTTTTTAAAATGTGGGTACTGGTACTGCATGTTTTATTTGAATATGCATGGGTTTCAGAGTTAGCATTATTCATGCAGCTTAGATTAGATTATGATAAATTAGCTACATTTATTTGTTGGCACAACATTTTGGATTTTAGAGCACAATGTGTTATTTGTATGGATATTTCACAGTTTAAATCATTATAACAGAGTTTTGATAAAGTGACAGGTCAGATGTGTCATTACTTGTTTTACTCTTCAGTCTAAACGGGTCACTTAATAGCAAGCCAACGTTAGCTTTGTTAGATTTTTAGTGTAAATATTTAGTAAGTGATTTTTATGTAAAACTTGTTTTTTTTTGGTGCTACTCAGTTTAATTTAGTGATGAGTAAATCTCTACTTATACTCACATGTTACAATTAGGGTTACGTTTGATGACACTAACAGCTGGTGGATCCGGTTCCAGAGTCCCGACCATCTTATTGTGGATGTGTGTACATTCAGCCTTCTAGTCTATGGACCGTGTAATTGAGTGTACAGGTTACACATCTAAAACATGTTGAGCATAAACCATGTAGACTTCAAAACGTGTTCTTTAAATTGGACTGTGGACCATATATGCTCAACATTGACGCGATAGATTGGGCAGCGAGGCGCCCAGAGATTGAACTTCGCCTTTAAATACCCTATGATCTCCTTCAACGTTTTGTCTTTGTCCAATGAAAGGAAGCATTTTGCCTGATGTAGCGTTTTTGCTCATCAGGGTGAGGTCATTTGAATTGAGATTTAATCTAACAAATCTCTTTGGATCATTTTCTTGACACTTGTAAAGTGATCTGCGTTGTGCTACCTCGCTTTAAGATATCAACACTTTAAAAGAACTTCCTGAACCAAACACATTAGAGGCAAATTTAATTATCTTGTCCTATGGGCAGACTTTTGTCAGAACGAAAATAAGATATTGCAAATTAATATAAGCATATCTGAGAATATGTCACTGCCTCTGAGGGATAACTAATTATTGTATGTTTAACTTCATTGCCAGCATGAGACCGAACATCTTCCTGGGGGTGAGCGAGGGCTCGGCTCAGTATAAGAAGTGGTATTACGAGCTGATGATTGACCAGGTGGACCACTTTGTGACCAGCGAGCCCTCCCACCTGAGGGTGGGCTGGGCCAACGCTAAAGGCTACGCTCCCTACCCTGGAGGAGGAGAGGGATGGGGAGGCAATGGAGTGGGAGATGACCTCTACTCGTACGGGTTTGATGGACTCCATCTCTGGTCAGGTCAGTGGGAGGAATAAGATTCAGTTTATGTGTGTAACTCAGCTCATATCATGATAAACTATTGTATTAAAGATAAGTGGTAACACTGGGCTAGAGCCAGGTTGTGTCTAGACGGGATCAGTTCCCCTGCAGGGTGTTCTGATCTCCTTGCCCAGAGTGTGTGTTACTTTGTGTACAAGTTTG